ACTGGATTATTTACCTTCACAGTTATCTAGTGTTGTTGGTCCATGATCTAAACTTGCTTATTTCCTTTTGTTTTAAGGTTAGAAAATCATGGTCTGGACCCAAATGTGGAGATTGTACTGAAGTGAGTAAATATTCTGTTAATTTGACTAATATGTATTTTTTAGCTGCTTTTGTTCCTGTAGACTAGATAATTGGTTCTTGTGTTTTCTTATATTTATTAGGGGTACCCTTGGCTGGGGCAGTAAATCATCATCTTCTGCATCAAATGCATGGGGTTCTTCTGTGTCTTCAAATGCCAATGTTGGGCCTAGTTCACCCAGTCATCTCAGTACCCGCCCTTCATCTGGTGGAAGTGGCACACGGCCTTCAACTTCTGGTAGTGATATAGCTTCTGAACTAACTACTGGTGCATGGGGATCAAGCTCCCGGCCTTCATCAGCATCAGGGCCACCAGCATCAAATCAGACTTCACAGGCATCATTGCGTCCTCGCAGTGCTGAAACAAGACCTGGTAGTTCACAATTATCTCGATTTGCTGAACATGAGGCTGAAAATTCAGTGGCTTGGAATGCTGCTAGAACTACAGAGACACTGGTAGGCTTCTGTTCTTATTTGTGGTTAGTCACTTCATACGACGTTTTTACTATAATTTATATGGTATCAAAAGATTAATAGATTGCTTTAACCAATGTTGAAGATGTTGCAATGACAATGACAATATTGATGTGCGAGTTTATTCGCATGTATGTAGCTAACAATTTCCAGTTCACACCTTCTATATTTCTTTGGTTTGAGAATGATACAATATGTTTTTAACAGGCATAGTTTCTTTGTTAATGAAAATGTTTGCATGTATAAAATATATCTCGTATAAGTATGTTACGATACATGTGGGTTGTATCTCAATTCAATATAAAATGGATCTCAATCAATGTGAATCTATAATGTGTATTTTTTTGTAACATGAATCTCATCTTGTACACCGATTCGCTATGATGAATCCGGTTTCATTATGATGAACATGATTCATTCTAATGAGTCACTACCTATTTAGTATAGCCAACCATGTTTGTTTTTGTCAATTTTGTGGGTTCAACTACTTTTCTTTTGGCATTTGATTTCTGATTTGAATTGTGAGTTCGTTCAACTCATGACAGTTGCTTTTAGATTGTCTCTAGGGTAATGTAGGTAGTTTGTTGCTTTTGTCAAATTCCCTAACATGCTGTCAAATTGTTTGGATTTAGCATTTGTCATTTTAAAATGGATAATAAACTAGTTGTAGGAGGATTTGAACTTGGCAATATTTTGAACTCTTGATCTTCATGTTAGAACTGTGTTGGTTTGACAAATTGGTAATTGATTTTGAAAACAATGTTTGAATTAATGTGAGTGTTGACATTGGTAAACACCAAGTTTGTTACTGTTTCTATTCAGATTTTACTCATGAGTTTGTTAACTTTCAAAACATTTTTGCTTGACTGGTGCTTTCATCTTGTTTTTACAACTTGCTGTTAAAGCTATGATAGTAGTAATTGGCATTGTAATGACCAACTCTCATCGTCATGGATTTTTGTGTATTGAATATTGTCATCAAGTGTTCCATACTTGGAGGGCACATTGTGCATCATGGTTTGCTAATCCATGATGACAGGTTTTATGCAGTCTAGGTAGGGACTTAGTAGATTTCTTTGTATGTTCTTTGCTGGTGTGGTCTGTTGAATGGGTGCTGTCATGTGTGTTTAGTTGAATTCATGACAAGACTAAGTTTCAAACATTCATGACAAGACTAAGTTTCAAACATTCATGACATTGAATTCATGTGTGTTTAGTAGATTTCTTTATATGTATTTTGTATTCCAATATCTTGATGAATATGATATTATCATTTCTCTTTTTCCTAAGTGTTACTAGGGCAATAGGGTTATATTGTTACTAGAGGGTTGGTATTTTTGTATTGAAATCATGATCTTTGCTGTCAAAACTATTTTGAAATGGAGTTTATTAGCTCTTAAGGCATCGCTGTTTTAAAACTTGTTTTTCATACTAAAGGTTGGTTGGTGTTTGTTGTGACAAATTGGTAACCTTCATTTTAAAGGCAACATATTGGTGTCATGACCCCTGTTGAGATGATTCTGACATGCTGAAGCATATGAAGATCAACATTGCTTTCATCATTGTTAAATTTGTTCTCATTGTTTGTGTTTGGCAACTGTCATTTGGAATTTGGAATTGGAATTGGCAACTGTTACCATGTGAACTAGCAAGAAGGTAACCCCTTTTGCCGTTAGGTTTGACGTTGGACAAGCGCATAGTAATGGAACTGTAAGCTCAGCGCCAACAGCAATGTTTACAGGAGCATAGTAATTTTGGCCCATCAATGCCTGGCAGGTTGTAAGGCCTTGATAAGTTTCTTTTACCAATTCATAGTAGGTGTCATTCTGCTTGACTGAGTAAGATATGCTATGCTGGTAGGCATTTGCAGCACATGAATAAAATACTCGCATAAATCTCTTCCGAATCCACTCATTTTAAAATGTAACTTACTTAAACTTCATTAGTGCCATCACAGGGCCAAATATCTCATCCTTTGCTATTAGCATGTCCTCCTAATATAGTATACTTATATTTTTCTACCAAAGATATAATCCTTCTGAGTCTAAAAGAGCCAGATCATGTGATTGGTGTTGCTTGTCTGTACTTCATTTAATTTTTTTCATTTAATGCAGATTCTTCATCCCACTTGGAATGGTTCCAGTAATTACATTAGTTGGTTTTGGATAATTTGACAGAGGCTTTCTTGTGGTACAGTAAAACACTGAAACCACGTGACTAGTACTATATGTATTCAAAATATCTAAATATTTTTTTTTGTCTCATATATTGTTGTTCAGTTATGTTGTTCTGTCCTTTCTCAGGTGGGGACTTGTGTTGAAATTGGAATTCCTATGCTAATCTTGTTTATATTCTTCTCCCAGATACAAATCAAATTTGCGCTGCTAATATCGACTACAGTGATATGGGCATATGCACATCTATTGACAGCAAATGGAGCATACGAACACTGACTGAACTTAACGCAACATAATTGCAAGACAAATAGGGCTAATCTCATTTCTTTTGCTCCTTGGTTGGCACCAATAGCACCTTGATTGTTGAATATGTTCTTATTATTATCAATCAATGTAGAAAAGAAGATTTTGAACAGATAAACTTGTTCCTGCAAGATAAAGATTCCATACCCTCTTGACTGGGGTGCTCCTACATTTGATGATGGCCATTCTTTTGGAATGATGGCTGATGTTTTAGTCTCATTAATCGAGGTATTTTCCAATACATAAACATTTGATGCTCTTCCGTTTAATTTGTGTTATTTGAGCATAAGAATTCTTTTTTTAGTAAACCCTGGTGTTGTGTTCTCTTCTATATTGTCCATGATGGTAAAATAGCACAATAATACTAAGGAAATTGTGTAAGGCATACTGTATAATTGCACATAAACTCTTCTTGACTTCTTGTACATGCTGTTGTCTTAGAAAATATTATGTTGTATAGGACTTTAATTGGCAACTTTGTTGATGCAGGCAATGGTGCAACTTGTTATTCAGAGATATACAAATGAAGCTGGTGTTCGAAGTTTGGAAAGGAATCTAGCTGCCCTTGCTCGTGCTTCTGCAGTGAGAGTAGCAGAGCAAGAAGTAGTTCCACTTAGCAAAGGAGTAGAGGGACTTACGATACCACTTCTGGAAAACAAACTTGTCGATAGCGCTGAAGTGGAAATGGAAGTGATACCAATGGGTGTCAACAACCGTGACATTTCAAACATATTTAGGATCACCCTCCATTGTTTGTTAATGAAGCTATGGTTGAAAAAGTGCTTGGGGTAATTTCTATGCAAATTCGGCTTGTTTTCAATTAAAGCTTCAAAGACTGCCCATCAGAGAGAAAAAAAACAAAAAATGATAAATTAAATTTTATAAAAAATTGTTGGCTGTCCCTCAGCAACTGGAATTTACAGCTCTAAAGTTTTCCATATAACTTTGTATTTTACTTCAGATAATTACGTTTTCTGTTATGCAAATTCTGTGAATGTAATGCCATGTTAAAAATGCGCTTTTATAGTATGACGCTGATATAAAAGGTGAATGGGTACCTTGTGTATGAAGTCATTTTGAAAGAGATCTTATATAAGAAATCTTCAATAGGAAATAGATTTTATAATATGCTTAAAGGTGAGGAATGACTAATTGGTTGATCTCATCAAATGCAGCCTCCAAAGTTTGATGGAAGAGAAACAGCAGAACGTGTTGTGACCCCTGGGATATCAGTTGGTCTGGTTTGGACTACTTTTGGTGGAGAGGTTCAGTTTGTGGAGGCTTCAATGATGGGAGGGAAGGGTGAATTACATCTTACTGGACAACTTGGTGATGTGATCAAAGAATCAGCTCAAATTGCACTAACATGGGTAACCAACTACATCTAAATAAGTTTCAACCAGCTTCTATTTCTTTTATGCTCACTAGAATGATATGTTTCATCTTATACCTGTCCAAAAAATTTGTTTCATGTTACTTGTATTGGGATAATAACCATGTATATGTGCATGGACAACCGTACACATGTAAGTGTGCAGTTGCAGATGTGAACTTGATAATCTCAAACATGTGTTGATGAATAATTTATCTAAGAATTTCATATGCTAATATTGAAAAATTTTTAATTCTCTTATTTATGTGATGACTAAAATCACTGGTATCTGTGATTCTCAGGATGAAATGAAGCAACTAGCAAAAAGTGAAAGACTAGCAGTTAATGTGTCGAATGCAGTTAACTTGGTCTTATTTACAGCCAAAATGTATGCTTCAATTGAGAGCAGATCATTAGCGGTGATTGCTTCCACTTTGGATTCTCTCTTAGATCTCTTGTCAGGATTCATATTGTGGTTCACTGCTAATGCCATGAAAACACCAAACCATTATCACTATCCAATTGGAAAAAAAGGATGCAACCAGTGGTATGTCTTTAACTTTAAACCTTTAAGAGTTTAAATTTGCAAATGTTGTGTGACAATATATCTTATTGTCATGAGATTGAAATGGATGCAACCAGTTGCCGCAACACAACACATCTCCCGAAATTAAAAATCATGATGCATATATTGACTTCAGACTCCTTATGCAGGGTATCATTGTTTTTGCATCCGTAATGGCAACCTTGGGGTTGCAGATTTTGATTGAGTCTGGCAGGCAAATTATTTCCAAGGTAGTTGAGAGTAGTGCCTGTTTCACAATGAATGAGTAATCAAAGCCTTTTTTTTGTGAACCTTACTAGTATGTTTTTCAATTGTTTGTTTCATTCTCTCAGACAAAGGCTGAAATGGATCATAGTGAGTTGATGTGGATGATTGTGATCATGGTATCTTTGACCATTGTAAAGTTCATTTTAATTGTCTACTATCGAAGGTTTACAAATGAAATCGTTAAAGCCTACGCACAAGATCATTGTTTTGATGTTATTACCAATTCAGTTGGATTAGCTGCTGCTGTGTTTGCTGTCAAGTTCTATTGGTGGATTGATCCATTGGGAGCTATTATTGTGAGTTCATTTCTACCATTAATTGTATTGTAATTTTACAGATAGTAATCTTTATATTTGTCAAGACAAGGTTTCATGGGATCCTCAATATTTGTTGACTTATATTGTTTGAACTTAGCCTCGAATAAATCGAGGAAAAATGTTCCTTTAGCCTCGACCAGGCCCAAGGCTAAATATTACGTTGGCTTATGGAGTTTGACTTTAGCCTCAGTCAGGCCCAGACTATTTTTTGTTTTTTGACACGGCTTCACCGAGGCTAATATAGACACGGCTAAACCGAGGCTAATATAGACACGGCTAGACCGAGGCTACTTTAGACACGACTCTTTTTGGCCGAAGCTAAATGTTAGCTTCGATCGTTTTAGCCTATCCCTGACACCGACGCTACGCCGAGGCTAATTAGCTAGTAGCGACGATTTTTTGCCTTATAGTGTCAGAAAATGGCCGAGGCTAAATATTATATTTCTAGTAGTGGATATAGGTTCAATCCTCAAAAAGAAAAAGAATACACATATAAGGCACACAAATTTATCATACAAAAACCACCGTAGAAATTAGAGATTTTTTATCCAAAATATGTTACTACCCATCATACACTATCATACAATCCCAAAACCATGTAAAGACCCACCCTTACCTTGATTCCTTGGATTCTAGAGCTCTTGTTCTTGGGGTTTTCTCCTTCTCTTCTCCACTTCTCTCTTTGCCTCTTTTCCATCTTTCAAACCCTATTCTCTTTCTCTTATTTTATCAAATCCCACAATTTCTCATTATTCTAAGGAGCTTACTTAACCCACTTTCCCACTTATTATTCACACTCCCAATCTAGGTCCAATTACTTATTTCTACCATTTCCACATATTATTCCATAAAATAAAATAAATCAATTAAATCAAATAATTCAATTAATTCAATTAAATCAAATAAATCAATTATGCACAAAATCACTCAATTAATCAATTAATATAATATAAATAAATAAATAATTACTAAAATTGGGGTGTTACACCCCCCCCCCCCCTCCACACACACACATAAAATATTTTCGCCCTCGAAAATTACCTCAAACGAACAACTCAGGATAAGACTCCCACATCTGACTCTCAAGTTCCCAAATCACCTTTCCACCAGCTGGTCCTTCCCAAGCTACCTTCGCCAAAGAAATCTCTTTACCCCGAAGTTGCTTCAACTCCCGATCCTCTATCTGCATAGGTGATGTCTCCACAATCAAGTTATCTCTCACATGCACTTCATTTACTTGGACTACATTAGACGAATCCATAATGTATTTTCTTAAATCCTGATACATCTTAGTAGCACCTGAATAAATACTCAATCCATACGATGCCCTTCCTCAAGAATACTCTTTTTCAACTCAACAATATCCGGAACACAAAACCTATCACGACATTTCATGGTACCATTTTCATTAATCCGAAAATCACCACTTCGACCTTGATTGATTAAAGTCAATCGATCTACCAAACTCAAATCAGATTTCTGACCTTCTCGAATCTCATCAATAATACCACTAGTAAACTTCAACATACCAAGCTTAACTCCATAAGAAGTCTCTTCACAAACCAAACTTGTATCTCGAAATTTCTCAATCATTTCCAACTCTCTTACCATCATCATCGACATATGTAAAGTTTTCCTACTCAATGCAACAACTACCATGTTTGCTTTACTCGGATGGTAATTCAAACGAAAATCATAGTCTTTCAGAAGTTCCAACCATCTCTTCTGCCTCACGTTCAACTCTTTCTGATCAAATAGATATTTCAAGCTCTTATGATCACTAAACACTTTAAATCTCGACCCGAACAAATAATGTCTCCAAAGCTTTAACACAAACATAACAACGGTCAACTCTAAGTCATGCATCGGATAATTCCTCTCATGAACTTTAAGTTTCCTTGAAGCATAAGCTACAACTTGATAATGTCACATCAATACACCTTCTAAACCCATCAATGAAGCATCACAATACACACAAATGGTTCTGCCAGATTCGGAAAAATTAAAATAGGATTTGTCGTCAAACTTCTCTTAAGCTCTTGAAAACTTTCTTCACACTTTGCATTTCAAACAAAAGCTTGACCCTTCCTAGTCAACTGCGTCAACAGAAAAGGTAACTTGACAAATCCTTCAATGAATCTTCGATAATAACCTGCCAACCCAAGAAAACTTCTAATCTCAAAAATAGATTTTGGAGCTTCCCATTGCGATACAACTTCAACCTTCAATAAATCAACTGCAATACCTCTACTCGAAATCACATGGCCAAGGAAACTCACTTCCTTCAACCAAAACTCACACTTAGAAAGTTTAGCATACAACTGCTTCTCTTTCAACACTAATAACACAACTTTCAGATGCTCAACATGATCCTCTTCACTCTTTGAATATATCAAAATATCATCAATGAACACAACCACAAACTTGTCTAAATACAGATAGAAAATCATGTTCGTGTACTCCATAAACACACCGGACGCATTAGTCACACCAAACGACATCATATAATACTCATAATGACCACACCTCGTTCTAAAAGCAGTCTTCTGAATATCTTCAGCCTTCACACGAATCTGATGATACCCAGATCTAAAATTTATCTTACTGAACACACTTGCACCAACTAACTGATCCATCAAATCACAATCCTCAGAAGTGGATACTTATTCTTGATAGTCACCTTATTCAATTGTCTATAATCCATACAAAGTCTCATAGAACCTTCTTTCTTCTTGACCAACAAAACTAGTGCACCCCACGATGATACACTCGGATGAATGAATATCTTCTCAAGAAGATCTTTAAGTTGACTCTTCAACTCTTTCAATTTCGATGCAGACATACGATATGGAGCCATCGATACTGAACTAGTTCCAAAAACTAAGTCGATCGCAAACTCCACTTCATGTTTCGGCGGTAAATCACTTATCTCATCAGGAAAAACTTCTGGAAAATCACAAACAATTGGCAAAACACCAACTTCCCCACTTTCACTAACACTCAAAGTTGCCATCAACATAAACATCTCATTACCATCCTGCACCGACTCATCAAAATAATTTGTAAACACTTGGGTTAACTCCAAACAATTCACTACACACACCATCTAAGCTCTCAAGACACGTCTATTCCATCCAACACGATCCCGTCTACTATTAACAAGAGATTAAAGGTGATCAGTTCCTTAATTTTTTAATAGACAGTCGACAATCATGATGGGCATAAACCATCTTTACCAAACTTTAATAGCGTTCAACGACACACTGAACCACCACTCCACACTTGAAGCATCTTGGAGAAGCATAAGCTTCTCCCCTACTTGTTTCAATCCCACTCCTATAGAAAAAGGTTAGAAACACAAACGTGTACCGATAGTATTTTCACACATATGTCACATGCTAGGGAACAAACAACATTAGATAACCTAGCCGGATGGACCGACCTGCTTTGATACCACTAATGTAATACTCTTCTAAACCCCACGGAATATATATAAATAATCAGAGTAATTATCATACATCTTAAATAAGGGTGTCACATACAATTCAAAACATCACACATATACTTGTCATGTTCAATGACACTTAAAATAAATGCATGCTTTTCATATACTTTCACATGGCATGTAGCAGAGGAATTACTTCAATCATAAATTAACATAATGAAAGCCCCATGATCAACTCATTCATAATTATCACTTAGGCATAAAAGCTGATACTCCACATAATTCAAATAACAATAACAAAATAAAGTAGAGTACATAAAGTATCTCTCCAAAACATGAATTGAAACGTTCACAATGTTACATGATCAGACCACGACTCAACCCAAAATAAATAGAGAAACTAAAACAAGCTACTCCAACAGCTACCTCACGCTAGAAGAACCTCTAGTCCTCAGTACCTGAGCGATGTCATACAAATAATCATTCCAACAGAAGGGTGAGAATTCACATAATTATAGAAATCATAAGATAATATATAATTATGGCATACAAACATAACATAATTATTTTCACACTCCAAAAGCATCATCAACATATTATCACTCAAGTGACCATACTATTTACAGGTACATACTCACAATTCCATAATTCGTCAATACATCAATTTCATATATTTCGCATAATCTCATATTGCAAACATATACATGATGTGACTTAATGCAAGACTATAATGCAACTTATGCATGTGGTACCAATCACTTGTTATTAGTTTTTGGGTTTTACATTAAACCGGGTCTGTATCATAGACCAATAACACACAAAAAGCCCATTCTCTAAGCATTCAAACCTCACTCTAGGTATGAGACAAGTCACTAGTTCCCACGAAACTAACAAGCATTGCCTCTTGACAATAAATGATGCATGTGCAAGTTCAACAACCATATGCAATTAAGACCATTCCCTAATATTAACATTCATACATATCTTCAATAATTCATCACATATGGATTACCATACAATTACACATACTCGCACATTTTTATGAATCATCCACACAGATTCACTTTCAAATGGTATACAACACATTTTACAATACAATCACAACTATATTAGCATTATCATAAGCAATAGATATCATGCATTTCATGTTGTCACACCCAAATATACTTATACAAGCACACACACAAGTATTCGATAAATTATCCACAAATAATTTCACAACCGACATTAAACAGCTCAACGATCCATTAATAGAACATATACACAATTGACTCCCAAACATATTAGATATAAAAATATTGGGTAATCAATTATATTATCTATAATATTTTATAGGTCTATCCATTAACTTTTTGACACTTTGAACCGGGACCAAAACGGAGTTACGGATCAAAAGTTATGACCAAAATGATTTCGACCGAAAACATGAACAGTTGTGACAGACAACATGTATAATTTTCTGCATTTTTCATCGTTGGAGGCCTTTCGGACCTCTGATTTCGATTCCATAAAAACCCAAAATCTCAAAAATTACAACCCATCCAATACTGTAGTCATCTCAAATAAATTTACAATTTTAACACAATTAAACCATCTAATCATTGTTTTAAGATTATGACTAAAACCTTTGAAATTGATGGATATAGATTCAATCCTCAAAAAGAAAAAGAATACACACATATAAGGCACAAAAATTCATCATATAATCATCATATAACAACCACCATGGAAATTAGGGATTTTTATACTAAATATGCTACTACCCATCATACAGTATCATACAATCTCATAACCATGTAAAGATCCACCCTTACCTTGATTCCTTAGATTCTAGAGCTCTTGTTCTTGGGGTTTTCTCCTCCTCTTCTCCACTTCTCTCTTTGCCTCTTTTCCTCTTTTCTATCTTTCTAACCATATTCTCTCTTTCTCTTATTTTATCGAATCCCGCAATTTCTCATTATTCTAATGGCTTACTTAACCCACTTTCACACTTATTATTCACACTCGCAATCTAGGTCCAATTACTTATTTCTACCATTTTCACATATTATTCCACAAAATAAAATAAATCAATTAAATCAAATAATTCAATTACTTTAATTAAATCAAATAAATCAATTATGCACAAAATCACTCAATTAATTAATATAATATAATATAATATAAATAAATAATTACTAAAGTTGGGGTCTTACATCTTCCACGTTGCACTCGCGTGGACTATGTAGAGACGTCAGTATCTTCTGCCATTCATGATCAGAGATAAAACATGCTTCAAGAAGTAATTCTTGAAATCTTATTTTGGTAAAATTGATTTACGATTAATGATTTAATCAAGATTATTTTATTGAGATTATTCTGCTACAAGGATCAAAATTTTTGAAAAACCCCTTTAAATCCCTTTAATAAGAAAGATGGAGATGAAGTGAGATACTCATCGAAAATAAAATAATCAAGGAAAATAAATAGATGAGGGTTTAAAGAGAGTGCATATGAAATTTATACAAATTTTTCCTAACCACTTAACTTATTTTTGTTCCCAAGAGTTTCCTCTTAAGAGTTCTACTAAAAACACATGAGATTTTTACAAGATTTCCCATGAACCTTCAAAAACAAAAAATAAAGCTTTTACACTAGTTAAGATAAAAAACCAATAGACAAAGCTTTTACATGTGCTTAGCTGAGACACTTTGAAATAGAGCATTTATACTAGTTAACCTCAAGAACCTACAAACAAATATTAAACACCGGTCAAGCTCAAAAGCCTTAACCAAGAATTTAAAGATTAAGTTTTTTACAAAATAATTCTCCAAGAGAATCACACTATTGGATACATCAAATTTAAGCACAACATCAATAACAAAAAATCTCACAAGGAATTTTCATTCTTTTGGCAGTATGAAAATTCTAGTGAAAAAACAGTTTTAGAACAAAGAGAATAAAAGAAAAAGAAAAATATAGTAAAACTTTTGAGTCAAAAAAGGAAATGATCTATGAGCCAAATTATTGATTTAATCGATTAACCATATCCACTAATAGAGTAAAATATTTTAAAATATGGCAACCCTAATTTTAAAAAAAGGAAACCATTAAACAAACACATGATTTAATCGATTAAAAGTTTTTCTAATTGATTAAGAAGTCATTTATTTGGATCTAAACGATTAGACCAAGTCCTTAGTCGATCAAGTAGTGTAAAATGTTTTTTCATATATTAGAAATATTTCTTAAACAATTTCATGCAAGCCTTAATAGGTATTTGAAGAGGTTTTATAAAACTAGAAAGGGTTTTAAAAAACAATTTTGTGTGTGTGTGTGTGTGTGTGACTGCCTCTTTACTTTAAGACTTACTCTTGACCTTTTATATTATAACTTATCAGTCTAAGACGCTAAACGCAGGATTAGGTGTGGTTTCCCACTTTCATAACTTCATCTCTTCAAAGCCTCTTGCTTGATACAATGATGACTTAGAAATTTAATTGAATTTGATTCTTCTAATGATGAAGCTTGAGATACCTCACTCTACTCTTTTTGAACCCAATAATTAATTTGAGCGTTTAGAATGTTATTTAATTTCCCTATAGACTTGCAGTGTAGAAATCCATCATCTTAAATCACACATATTCCTGATTCCGATATTCTAGATCAATATCATTCAAAGAAAACATGGTAGTGTGTGTATGTAATTTGGGAGCTACCAAACTTCTTTTATTTTGTACTCGATGCATTCATGTAAAATATTTGAAATTTTTTTTACCAAAATAACCCAATTTAAAAAAAAACCCAAAATACCTCACTTTTCAAAAATATTCCCAAAGTACTCCAATTAGGGTTTCTGAGTACCCAAGGGCGTCATTCCAATTGACGATCCTTTGTTAAGGGCATAAGGGTGTCGCCAATTGGATTGGAGACACCTCATGCAATCTTCAATCTAATTGGCGCATATGTTATAGCCTTATAAGGGAGTCTCCAATCCATCTGCAGATGTAAGACCTCTAAACAAATTAATTTATATTTGCTAAAATTAGATCACCTAACACCTGCAGATGTAAGGCCTCTAAACAAATCAATTTATATTTTATATCAACTATTTTATGGTCTAATATTTTTCTCTTCATCAGTTCATATGGCATCCATATCTAAACATGGAACACCTACATGAAGTCAGAGAGGAAGATGTTGCCGTTTGGACTGCATGCGTCCCGATCATCAGATTCACAACTGTGGAGATGCACAACAATTACCGTGTTAAACTAAAATTTGGAATGCATCAAAATATCTCAGATCCTCCTGTTGACATCAATAAATGGCATCTAAAAAGAGTTAATGATCACAATGGGACTTTTTCGACTGGAAGAATTTTGCAAAATCTGAGCGATGTAAATGGATGAACCGCAGCGCCCATGTCTTACGTGACCGATTATGGTAACCCTATCTATACCAACGAATAATTATATGGCTTGGTACAGATTGGTTGCAACTGGGTTTGTCTCTGAAGACAGGTATTTATACGACCCACGCCAAACCACATATACACAAGAAGTTTCAACGTCTAACCCACCAGAAAGACCATGTTACTCACAACCCCTAATCCAACAGAATTACCAACCCATTAACCATCCAAACATGCCAAACAACCAAGCACAATACCAAAAGCGTCCCCCATACCATTTCCAACACACTGACTACTACCCAGAAACCCAATATGGATATGGCCCCAACACAACATCAAGATATGACCATAATGAGGGTACATCATACCATAGCCATGAACGCCCAAACATCTTTTCATAGCCAAAATGCTCTGACATCATACCCTAACCTACACACTCAACCATCTCAACAACCTTATGGCTTTCAAACACCACTACCATTTCAACCTTTCATCAAATAATCATTCACACTAATGTCCCCATCCAACCGTCCAGACCGCACATCAATGACTCCTTCATCACATTCGAACTACTCTGCCATGGGTCACACACTTAGTTTCAACACACAGGACCTAATGGAAATGCAAGAAATTCTTAGGGAACCATCTGAAAATGTTCCTGAGACTTCAACACCTCAAACACCTGGCGTAAATCAACAAAGAGGAGGCCATGCGCAACGAATTAGGGTGCCTAGGGATGTGGAACCGGTGGCCGGTATGACCCACCCGGTCGCCAATATTAGTTTATGTAATAGTTTTTTTTAAATTAATGATAATAGTATTTATGTTTTGTAACAAAATTACAAAATACACAGTGTCTCCAGATGAATTGGCGACTCTCTTATGAGGTTATAACACATGCGCTAATTGAATTGGAGACTGCATGAGGTGTCTCCAATCTTATGCCCTTAACAAAGGATCACTAATAGAATGACGTCCTTGGATACTCAGAAACCTTAACTGGGATAATCTGAGAATATTTTTGGAAATTGAGATATTTTGAGATTTTTAAAAAAAAAAATAGGTTATTTTGGTTTAAAAATTCAAATATTTGCACCATGCATGCAACTAGGGCACACATGTACTCTTCCCTTCTTTTTCTATTCAGCGAAAGATTATTATTCATTTAAGAAGCAGTACAACATAAATTATTTAAAGAGTAGAGTACGAACTTCAGTGGAGAATTTAGTCTCCAAAGATGTTGAAAACGGGATACAAATTTTGATTGTTACTGTTAACAACTTTCCTCTCTTTCTAACATACTAACTAATCACTAATATTCATCCATAAAAATAAACAGCTTAGAATAAACAAGAGCACGACCTTCTCGTCGAGGAAAACAATTATCTAAAAATGAAAAGCTAGCATCTCAATTGTATTTTCCATTTCATCGAAGGAATCTCTAAAAGCTTCCAATGCAACCATTATGTCATCATCATCTTGCAAGTTAAAGCCATAGTCATCCACGATCTCTTGGTCATTAGTAATGATATTATTATTACTTCTATCAGCCTCATACGGGAGTAAGCCTTCTCCGAACATCAAATCATTGGTAGAAGAAAGCAGGTCCCTACTAGGAAAGCTTGTAGGGGATATTGGAGAAAAAGGGTCATCATCCTTTGCAAGCATAATGGCACACATATTGTTATACACTGCATTGTTGTGTATGGTTATTGACAGATTAGATGAACTTGATGAGGATGGTAACGATTCAAGTTTAGTTTTGCCCAACATTGATGATGATCTTGCTTCAGCTTCCAATCTAACACTCTCCCACTGAACCATGTGTTTTATAGCAATATCGTCGCTGTTTTTGGTTTTGGATATTGGTTTGTGAGTAATAGGATCTATGCCCATTTTGATAAGTCTTTTCTTGATGTTGGTGTTCCAATGATTCTTTATCTCATTGTCTGTTCTCCTTGGAAGGAGAGTCGCTATTGTGGACCATCTGTAAAAGTGAAATCAAATGATGAAATGCATAGAGTAGTAGGTATCAAATCTCAACAAATACTATAAACACATGTTTTTTTTCTTCTAACAAAGCTCACTTGTTTCCGAGAAGAGCGTGCAGTTGAATAATAGTGCGATCTTCCTCCAAACTAAAGTTTCCTCGTTTTATATAAGGACTCAAATAGTTAATCCACCTTAATCTACAGCTCTTTCCACATCTTTGAAGACCTGCATATACATATATAAACGTGAAAGTTGAAACTCATAAGTTTTGGTTAAAAAATCTTAGTAACTAAGATTTGGACAGAATATAAGACAACTGTATATTTCAACATTAGTTAATAGTATAAAAAAATATGTTACCTGCCCTTGCGGGCAAAGAATGCCAACTTTCATGGCCATTTTGAGTAAGATATGCTATAAGCTTCTGGTCTTCGTTTGGTGACCATGGTCCTTTCTTCAACCCTACTACATTCTCACAGCATGGTCTCCTAATCATTTTTAAATGAAAAACTTAAATGAATTAGATGTAGACCATATGTATGCTTGTTGTTAGATATATATTGTTGAGTAACAAGTGCTACATGCAAAGATTTATGAAGTAGTAAAGTTTCCGTAATAAGTAGGTGGCTCTTGGTCTTTTTAATTCAGAAAAGATCATACATTAACTAATAATACAATCGAAGGACAAATAACAGAGGTTAAAAAAGTTGTGGTGCAGTACACAATAATTTATATATATATATATATATATATATATATATATATATATATATATATATATATATATATATATATATATATATATATATATATATATATATATATATATATATTACATATTACATTTTATTTTGTCTAAACAAACCGTCAAAATAAATTTAACTGGTGTTTATGTTAGAAAAATCAAACTCTAGACAAAAAATATCTCTCAAATGTTGAGAATAATTCTTATTAAAAAAAAATATAACAAAGGCATAAATAGCTACTACAAAGGGAACAAACTGCTACCCAAGTTTTACAAGCCTAGCGACGTGGAAGTGGCTAAAATAAAGGAACAACTCAGTAATAAGTGATGCAAAACCATCATCTCCTAAAAATTAGAATTAATGATTTAGCAAAATTAAATAACAAAGTTGATTAAAACTACTCTTATGACCACTAATTGTGCTCCACTTACTTAACATTTCCTCCCATAAACTAAAATTGCTAATAACAATCCGTTTACATTTGTTGTTGGTCGGACTCCAAGTAACCTACGAAGCCTTTCAAATATTTCTAGTTTCAATGGCTTGGTCATGATGTCTGCTCATTGGTCATCTGTTTTGCAGTGCTTCAGCTCTAGCATACCATCTTTAATCAGATCACGCAAAAAGCGAAATCTCACATCGATATGTTTGTTTCTTCCGTGCATAATTGGATTTTCGGATAACTTAATTGTGGAATTATTATCACAAAATATTGTAATACACTCACAATGAGAATGACCAATCTGATTTTTTTCATCCAAATGCCTTGACATGCACAAACAGCACTTGCAATAAACTCTGATTCGGTTATGGACAATGATGCAACAGGTTGTTTTCTTGAACTCCAACATACAGCTCCATTAAACAAAAATGCATACCCTAACGGATATACTCCTTCTGCCATTTATATCACCTGCGTAATCAATGGCGGTGTAGGCCAACAGCTCATCCTTGACCCATCTCTTGTAGAACACCCCCATTTCTATGGTTTCTTTTAAATAACGAAGCACCCTTTGTGCGGCTAACATGTGTTTCCCTGTAAATATCAAGTCATCAACATAGAGATTAACAACGACAATTTTACCTCTTTCAATATTGACAAATAAAGTAGGCTCATAGTTGCATCTTTCAAATCCTTCTTTAATAAAGAATCCTTCAATCCTGCTATACCAAGCCCTAGGTGCCTGATTTAGTGCCTCTTTTAATCTGTATAAAGCCTTCTCAAGCTTATAGACTTTATCTTCCTTTCCTTCTTTAACATATCCCAACGGTTGTTCTACAAATACAACCTTATTTGGTTTTGTCCATCCTTTTTGTGCTGCCAAAGCCAAAAAAAATGCGAATGGTATCCCATCGTTCCACCGGAGTAAATACTTCATCATAGTCTACTCCATATTTCCAGGCTTAGCCTTTCACCACCAAGCGTGCTTTGCATTTATCAATCTCCCATCTTCATTCAATTTGGTTTTATATACGCATTTGACACCAAGTTTTTATGCTCCATGTGGCAAGCTCACCAACTCCCAAGTGTCATTTTTCTCTATGGCTTCAATATCTAAATCCATTGCATTCCTCAACTTATCACTCTTTGCAGCCTTTTCCTAATAGATTCAATTTTCTTGTGATAAAAAAAAGCTAAGTCTTGCACATCTTCTTCCTCCTTAGACAATCCTTCTCCACTAACATAATCTTGCATCTATATTAGTGCTCTCCTAATTCTTTCTCCATCTAAACAAAAATTATTTCCTTCATGTGAGCTTGGTTCACTTCCTTCATTTAAGTCACTTGAACCAGATGCTTCTTCTTGTTGTACAAGGAATTTAATGGTACAATTTATTTTTCCGTACCATGAACCCACACGAAAATTCGATAGCATCAATAGTATGGCAAGTTTGGTGACAACCAAATGCAAGAATATGTGAACAACATTGTGTAGTGGTGTGCTTTGTGAAACAAATGTACAAATATCACATATACATCATATATAGAGGTTAGCGCAAAAAAAATCAAGAAATGCACAAGTGGTTTGGCAGATTGGAATCAAAATGCAAAATGTGAATAGGTTGGACCTAGTTTGTGACCTGAAATTTGACAATCCAAACACACATATTTTGCTGCAAGAAATGGTTCATACATGACATATAACATACATAAAACCTGTCTAAACAATGTTCAATACAAAATCATGGCTAGAATACAAGATGACATGAGAAATGCAAGTTTTAGGCTTACCTCTTGTAGCATTATGATGCAAACTTGAGAAGCAAGAAAACCAGAGATCCTACAAGCTCTTTGATGGCCTGCAAATGCTCTAAGGATGATGAGTAGGTGCTCAAAGTAACCTCCAAGCAAGCTAGTGGGCAGAATGCCTTGATAGTAAAGAAAATACCAAAAAAAACAAAGATTTCCAAAGCAAACTTGCTCAAATCTTGTTATAGAAGTGTGAATCACTTATGGATAGTTTGTATATGTCAAATGTGAGGTGTGAGTGGTCTTGGAACTCAAGGAAATGCAGTGGTTTGATGGTTGCCTTCCAAAATGCAGAAAAGTCAACAAATGAGGTTTTGGAAGTTGACTTTTGACTTGGATACTTTTCTGGCTAATGTGAGGTTTTGGTCAGCTCTAACACATCATTTGTGAAGTGTTTGGAGTGTTGTTTAAGTTAAAAGTGTTTGGAAAAGGTTTTGGAAGGGAAAATGCAAGACAAATTTGGAAGTGGTTTGGAATTTGGTTCAAACTTGCAAGAACTTGGTGCTTGGGTGTCGGAGAGAGTTCTAGTTGGTTTCTAGCAATGAACTGATGTCCTTGGGATGTAAGAATGAGGTTCAAATTATAGGCAAAGGTCTTGAGCAAGAGGTATGGGCAGAATGTTGCTAAATGCCAACTTTGGCCTTGTAACTTTGAAATCTTTGTGCCAACCAATGCAAATCTTCATTTCTGACCTCAAGCCACTCTACCAAGAGCTTATCCATACTCTATAGGTCATTTTCATCTTGTTTGAGGGGGTAAGAGGTGATTGGCTGCAGCATAGCTGGTGATTAATGTGAGGGAAGCCACCATTTTTCTCTTTCTTCACTATTCACCTTTTGTAACTCTCTGGTGATCCTGACTTTTGGTTAGTAGTCGTTGTTGTCGTCCTGATCGGTTGCTGTGTCGATTATCCTAACTTTTGGTTGGTACCGGCTTTTTTTAAGTCCATCTTCAGCTGGCGATCATTTTATCCTACCTACATCCCCGCAGGTTGCAAATTTCTGGGTTCTTTTGGTATTCAATCACCTTTTACCTCAAATGTTTGAGAGCAGTTTCTCTTCATCCCTTCGGGTTCAAGCTGTTTGAATAGGGGCAGCTGTAGTACCCCAAAATCTTCTCATCTTTTCTTGTGTTCTTGGCTTATGTTTCTTTGCATTATCATATTCATGTTTTCATAGCATTTGTTCTTGGCATGGGATCAAGGTATCATGGTTTATTTCTCAAGGAAGAAGGTTGTGTTTCTTCAAGTTCAAGCAAGTTGTTTTCTGTGACTTTGTGGTATTCCCAACCCTAGAAGTTCCTCATCATAAAATGTGGTTCAAGGAAACATCATTCCAACATCATATTTGATTCATCATGGCTTAAGATGCAAGAAATCATCAAGAGATTCAAATTTGTTTTAAGATACTTGACCTAATTTGGGCAAATGGTGGATGCTATGATCAAATGGGCATAACTCCTTTAATTTTCAACACCTTGGGGTGGTTATTTTTCTATTGGAATCTTCTCATCATCCTATATAACTTCTCTTTGCAAACGAAGATTCAATTATGCTTGGAAAGTCATCAAAGATGGGAAGACATTATAGGTCATTTTGACTTTTGGAATGTTTTCTTAGTCAACTTCAAAAGGGAATAACTTGGTCAGTTTTTATCATTTGGAGCCTATTCTTTTTCTAGAATAAACTTGAAGATGTCCTCTACAACTTTGCTTCAACTTGGAAGAGCTAAAAACCCATGGAAGGCCTTGGTTTTCATCAAAATAGTATAGGATATTTTTGGTCCTTAAAAAGACTTGAAATTTTTTTTAAGTGCTTTATGATTTTCACCTCTTTTGTGCAAGCCACTTTAAAGGATCATATCTCTCAATTCAAGTTTCCAAATAAATACTTTCTTTTCACATTGCAAAGATTGCATCTCACTCTATCCAATGCAAGAAGAATCATCTCATAAAGCCTCATACACTATGAGAACCATGGCTGCAAAAACTGAATTTCAGAGTTGGATTTTCACTTCAGATGAGGGAGTCGCATCCGACTCTGTTCTCTTGAGGTGATTTTTGAGGGAGAAAATTCTTTTAAGTGAGGGAGAGTTTTAACACTCCAAATTTTATTAGAATATTTATTTAATTTATTTAAATAAGAATATTCGCATTTTGGTGATTTTGGTTGTGGAATATTGAGAATTATGCATTTTGGGTTATTTACTTAAATGATAGTATATAATATGAATATATTAATATTATTATTAATTTAAATAAATATAAATCAACTAAGGGCAAATTGGACAATTGAGGAGGAGTTAGTGAGGGTAATATTGGGAAAGTCGAATTCTGAGGCCCAAGTCTAGGTTTAACAAAAAGGAAATTGTGATGGAATTAGGATTCATTTTGTTAGACCGTGAAAAGAATTGATGCCAGAGCTCTGAGGAGGAGGTTTGAGGCAAAAGCTTTGAAAGGTTTTCTAAAAGATTTGATAGGCTTATAGTCGACAATTAAGGTA